CTTTTGTATTAACATCTTTGTTGTATTATGCTAACTTTCTACTAATATGGTCAAAAATCTCATTTTTTCATCGTTTTCAAACTTTCATTGCCTTCTGGACCATCAAAATTAAAATTTGGGTAAATATGTACGATACAAAAGTGTTTTATTTCAAAGGTATCTACAACTTTTTTCGACCACACATATATCTGTCATATAAAATTTAGAAGATATAGCAAACAAACTGACTTTTTTGTGTTTCCCAATGTTTTCTTTAATTTATGAAGTATGCAGTTGGTTCTAGAAAAATAAATCAAAAAATCGAAAAAATGTCTTATTTTTTTAAATCTACAACTTTATTTTTTACGAAAAATACACAAGGGTGCACTCACATGAAGTTGGAAGTACTTCAAATTGAAGGGTCCCGAGAGAAATTTAAATTGTTCGAACGTTTAGACCTGAAAGTAATTATAATAACTGACTAAAAACTTGTTATTACACGTAGTATTGTTACATAAACTGTTATTCACGATAAAATAAGCGAGCTAATATTCTTTCTCACCGTTGAGTACAACTTTTATGGTTAAGTTAGGTGAGTACTTATCAACCATTTGATTTATGCATATATGTTATTAATCGATTTTTGATTCATTATAACATGAATAAAAAATCATGTAATACAACACCATGTACTAGAATAGCAGTAAATAATTTTTTCTAAGTTAAAAAAGTAACTTTTTTAAATATAAGAATCCACCATGATTCAAATTTCTCTCGGTATTTAAGTTAAAAATATTTCCAACTCCTAGTGAATGCCCTCTAAGTCTTTGACTTTTCAAGATATAACTAATGAACTGATTGTTGTTAAACTGTAAAATACTACTTTTCTAACTATAATGGCCTAAAAATGCCTTTTTTAGGTCTATATAAGTGTTCAAAAGTTTTATTTTTGTTTGTTTATTTTTTTACTTTTTTTGCGATCTATATTTTTTATTGACTGTGTATGGACCTAAGGTTTCCACTTCAAAAGTCACATTAAATAACTGACTTTAATACCTCTCAGACTTATGCAATCTTGAGGCTTGTAAAAATTTTCCCTTCTACAAAGTTCCTTAGATTTGAAACTGTTAAGTTGTGGTGTGAAAATAAAGCTACAAACGAAATTTGAGCCCACCCAGATGTAAAGTTGCGAAGATAATCGATTTGCATGTCTTTTATAGTTGTGGTTACACTTTTTTCTCCGTCAAAAATATTAGGCTCTTCTGTTAAAAGAGCATTAAGCACTTAAGTTAAAAAAAATGTGCTTATGTTACGGTATAAACAATAAAGATTTTCTAAACATTGAAGGACAAAGGTACTATTGTACTATTTGTACAAGAAGCGATTATTTTTATTACTTTAAAAATAAATTTGTTATCACTACAATAAAAATAAATCTTCTTAATATTACGAAGAAAAAGAGTAATCAAACTGCAATAATAATACAGTAAGTCTGAAGTAAAAATTAAGTATAAATAAAAGTTTACAAATACTTAACAGAGATTAGAAAACTTTGTATTAAGGAGTTGTCAATAGTTTTTAATTAATGACCATATCGATCGATTATGAGCTAAAACGTATCTCGTTCTTTTTTGGTGGTCACCATATTTGATTCACCATAATAGAGAACATACTAGTATATTCAAAAGTAGTAAAAATAAATTGTGAAATAACAGTCGTGGACAAACAAATAAGAAGTCAAAATGAAAGCTTCTTATCATGAAGTTGACGTTTACATAAGATTTTACACCACTGATACCTTATTTATACTTCTATGTTACACTGTAGTAAAGAGTAGCATTAACCCTGACCATCAAAAAAGCTTATTTGATTCATTATTAGTTTTCATTAGAATCCAAGACAATTTATTATTTTTATTATACATACTAAATACAGCTATTTTTGCAGTATTAATTGTAGCATAAAATTACACGTAGGTACGCAAGTTAAAATTGTTTATATTTAACCCTATTTAAATGATTAATGAGTATTTCTATAAACATGAGACTGACAGAATCAGACGACATTAAATTTGTTGTCAACTAAACAAAGTTTCTCAAAGTACTGAATTAGAAACAATAGTGGTCTTTTCAAAAAATTTTAATAAAAACTTTTTAAAAACCGTACTAAGATTATAAAATTTTCACATCCAACACTTTACACACTGCAGTCATTTAGATGTCCACCGTCAAGTCAAGTTCATCTGTCATTCAATTGAGTCATATGTTTTTGTATGAAAAAAAAGTAAACTGCAGTATGAGTACTTAATTTGTATTCTTTACTTGGTTATTATTTAATAGTTCCTCAGAGTAAGCTCACGAATCATAAATATATTCAAGTTGTTAACTTGATATCAATCGTGAATGATGGATATTTTTAAGGTTCCATTTATATCTTCAGTTATATAAAAATTTTATTCATTTTAGGGTTATATTTTTGTAACTACACGTAATCAACAATGCCGTGATAAAAATTTTTCATGAAGAAATTAAATATGATTTGTTTGAAATGAAGCATAACTTGTTTAATTATATCACAATGTGTATTATCATGTGTACATTTCTACATTTACCGATTGAAAGGTCGTTATGTTACGTGAATGGAGGCAGCCTACTTACGGCATACCAAGCGCCCCCTGACGTTGCCAACATACGACCTCAGTAGGCTAGCGAGGCAGTCTAAGTAAGCGCTACTGATCGCCTACTTATAATTTCTGTTCGGGTAGCTAGGTTATCTATGTATAGATATATAATCCTCTTCCTACTGCTTATGCTGCTTATACACACATCAGTATGAGAGTACGTATAATATGTCTATATGTACACATGTGAATAGATATGAATATGCATACGTTGATGCGGTCTGCTGTACTGCATTTTTTGAGTTCAGTACTCATATTCTCATGTATCCTAAAATCGGTATATTTATGAATACATGTAATATAACCTTCCTGCATTATGTTCAGCTGAAAATAGCTGAACTAATCAGTTGAATGATTGTGGAGAAATTAATGGAAGCAATCTTTATAACTTACCAAAAAAAAGGATCCAATAGTCAGAACTTCAGATTCTTTTATTTCTATACATAACAGCAAGTTGCTGTCAGCAACACTTTGAAAAAGAAACATATTATATCTGAAGAAGATGTTTCAAGTAGTCTTGAAACTGTCTTTTTATATTTTAAGGAGTGGGAGAGCATCCAGAGTAAACAAAAAATAAACTCCTTAATCTAATATTTAATGTGCAATTCTAATGTATAATACTAATTATAATTTTATATACTACGTGTAGTTAACCGTAAATTAGTTGTAAAAAAATTAATTTATATTTTTATAAGGTGCTGAGTTGATTAATTTTTCATGGCAAAAGTTTTTGCTATAATATGTATTTCATAACACTAAGTCATTTTTACTCTGATAAAAAAATTTCCTAATATAAAAAATGACCTAACGAGGGTACCTACATAGGGCCTACCTAGCGCCCCGTTACACGGTGCCATGTAACACTGTACATTGGCCTCGCTAGGACCTCGGTAGGTTAACTAGGCTCCCTAGGTAGGACCTACTTATCACTAACTTACGATTTCCGATATCATTCCCAATATTATACTACCCATTTACCTCATGAACCAACTTTTCAAAGTTTATAACGATGTTACTGACAGACTAACCACATGTGGAATTTCTCATGAATGACAGTTCAACCCGCAACCTATAGTTTTTTTCAGCCAGGAGGTAAGCATACTTGTGACTAAGCTATCAAAGCGTGAAAATAATTGATTCACTATTCTATATAAAAATACATGGAAAAAGTTGTCTACTGTCAATGTATCGTTTAAAGTGTTTACAATATAGCTACTAGAATTTTTCCATGAAATTTTGTGATCTCACGATACCACATTGGAAATATTTGAATTATTCAAAATTCATAAAAGAGTTTTTTTTGGTCGGTTATCACTGTGAAGTTATAATTTTTTTTTTGTATTAACATAAAATACTCTTGACATCGTATCACAGTTTTTAGTGTAGAAGTTAATTCACTGGTGCAAACATATAAGTGCACAGATTCTACAAATCTTTACAAAAAAACCAAAACGTAAAGGAACTTTTTTTTATAAAATAGTATTATTCGAATTACAAATGTATTTAAGACTCGCTTTTCACACTTATCCCTTGATATAAAATTCTAAAAAGCAATAAAAATATTTGAAAGATAAGCTTATAAATTCATTCGTAAGAAAACAATCTGTATTATTGTTTGCAATTTTTATAGACTACATTACTAGATTCGTACCATGTGGCAACATACTTGTACGATCAATAAATTGAAGAGGGTGTCTTGAATTGCTCCAATCATAAGGATCGCATCTCAAGCATCTCTAACAAGCTAAAGACGCCATGTAAACGCAGCCTTAGTGCGACGATCCAACAGCGTCTCCGATCCTTGGCCTTCTTTTTAATCTCGCCTTTCAAATTCCTTCTCTCCGAGTGAAACAGCTCAATGAACGAGAAAAAGGGAAAACGAAAAAGTTCGTTAGATAACACGATGACGACGCAGCTCCAAGAAAAAGAGGGGCGAAAAAGAGGGACGGAAAAAAATCTAAGCTCTCGAGTGACGAGTTTACGGCTTATTGTCGTGCGTTGGTATAGTTCATGCGGAGCACGAGGTGGCACGCGGAGCGAGCGTGACGTAGCGTTAAAGACGGAGACAGCAGCTGTGTTGGTGGAAGGCAGCTGAGTCGCCTCCTGATTGGTCGGAGCTCGCTATAAGCAGTGCCAGGCCTCGTGAAGGAATTCAGTTCTGTTGTTACTCACCCACTGTAAACTTGGTAAGTGCCTAAACCTAACTTTAAATAAATTTCCATCTCCTGCTATTTTTGTTGTATTTTTTGCCTGTTTTTGAACGTTTTACTTGCAAAAGAAAAACCGAATCAATTACCTTTCGAACCTAGTGTGTAACGACGACGAGAACCATTGCTATTTTTATTTCTCTGTTCGCTTCTGTTTTGAAAACAGAGAGGCGAAACAGCTGACTAGTCGCCAATCGATACGACGAGTCCATTCGGTCTGCTTGTGCGTTTTATTTATTAATTTTTTGAATTTCGTGGCTGCGTTTTACAGGAAACTCCCATGATTGTACGGGCAAGGTTTGTCATAATATTAATATCATTTTAAGTGTAATGGGTGATTTAATCAAGAAAGCTTGGGAACTGTCACGACTATTTTTTGACTATTTCGTTGCATGGATTTTGCGAAGTGTCATGATCATATTTTTAAACAGTCCAATGCACGAAATAGCATTAAATTTAGTGACAAAATAGAACTGCGGTAAAAAACTTACGACTTGAAACGAAATCTTTGTTTTGTTGTTGGCAAGGTGGCTAATCGATATTTCCGCGTCACTTTTACTTGTGCGCAAGAGCAGATTATCCCTTTGCTCTAATTCCAGAGAATGTGACGAGTTTAATTGTAACGTACAGGAATTGTCGTAACTTTGTATATTATTAATTAAAGAAAAGAACATTATAAGGTTTTTCTTAAGACTGATTTGAAATTTCAAATTATTGCTTGAGCTCGATTTCTCTCAATCATTTTTTAAATCACCGTTTGGAATCGAAGTGGGACTAGAACAAACCATTTTATAATTTACTTTCACTCTTCATATTGAGTACTTACATATTTCAGCGGTCTTTAAAAGTCTCATTACGTTTTCACTTCATGAATTGCATTTGCATGAACAAAAAAGCACATTCATCAGCTATAAAACGTGGACATTATTTATTGAATAATTTTATTGCTAGAAGTGCTCTCTATAGTCTCTATAACGAAATTAAAAATAAAAAAAAGCTTACATTGTTCTTGAAAGTTTAAGTTTAAATCTCAAATAATATTTCTAGTATTTCCTATTTTGAACAGATTTCAAACATAGTTTTACAATTTCACTTTAAAATCCTACGAAAAATCTCAAATTCATACTTTTGTTTTCCGGAAACGAACATTATCTTATTGGTACAATAGTCAATACAGCGAATTAAAACCTAGTTCACAGAATCAACATGAGTCATACCAGTACAGGAATTTCCAAGCATTTTGTGGGAACTATAACAAAGAGTTGTAGTGAAATCTAATCATAGGTAGATAAATAAACTTGAAAAACAAGGTAGTTGAGGTTTTTATGTTGAATATCTTAAACTTCATCAATTTGAGATCGGCTTTGTTACCAAAAAAAAACTTTGACCACGAAAAATAATATAGTAGTTTTATCTATACAAATTCTACAAGAAAAATTGATTTTTTTAAAGAATTTGACCCAAAGAAAAAGTTAATCAAAATGGCTTTTACACCATGTATAATGTTGCACATCTATAAAAAGCTTCCAAACTTTAATGTTTCCCAGATAATATTGTGCATACATATAATTTATAAGTAAAACTCAAAATGATTTTCTTTAACAAAGCCAAAAAATTCCATTATATTATAATGTAATCATATGCAATTCTATACATGCCCTAGAAATTACTAGTCCTTACTATTGTATATTTTGAGGTAATAATGGCAGACAGTGATAAAACGTGGATTCTCGACTGCACAATACACGAAAGATAACGTAAAGAGAGTACCAATCTCGTTTTTGCAGACAGCATGACGCGTTAACAAAAATAAAAAGACGATTGATAAAGAAAAATTCCCAGACTATACACGTGTGCATGTAATTGACGTGCTTTTATCGTAAATGAACTTTACTGGGTTCATTTTGATATCGATGCATGTGTATATTTTTACGTTAGTCATGAGATTGTACAAGTGGTACGCTTATCAATTATTAATATCGTATGGGCTGCAGTTGAGAATGCATTTTCTCGTGAAGTCGAAATCAGCCGTGATTCAAAAGCTTTGATTTATAAAATCCAATCATTTCCTGCTAAATTTATTAACTACGTTGTATCTTCTGATTTTCCGCTCAACTTTTAACTGCTTTATCTTGTGAATATACTAGACGTATCATGTACTCGTAAGGCTCACAAATATAATTCATTATCTTATTGTGTTCAATTGTAATCATAAAATCACGTGTATAACGCAAAAACATTAAGTTAGTTATTTATTAAAATTTTGTTATCTTTACGTACATTATTTCTGACCCTAGATCACGTTTATTTTGCATTCGGTTTTTTAAATTAGTGAAATATAATTATTTATTCTCACTCTAAGGACAAGGTAACATAGTTAAATATGAGTTTTTGATTAGGTTACTGTTATATTGCTTACACTTCATTTTCCAATGATAGATCAGCTGATTTTGTTGTAATTACTGTTTAAAAGTTTATTTATAAAATATAAAGCGCAAAAGCCTTAATCAAAATAATAAAACATAAAATCAGTGATCAAACATATTATCACCGTTATGTAAGTAGTAACTATAATATATAACGTATTTTGTATTTTTAACATGTATACTCATAACAATGCTCTTAGTGGTATTTTATCATAAATAGTTATCTGACAAAAATAAAATATAGTAATAATTATTCCATAATTACAATCTGTAGAATACCAATAATAAATTTTGTCCCTTATCAAAATAATTAATATTATATAATATCAATAAACAAAGTTGAAAAATTTTTAATTACCAACATCCAATAATATAAATATTATAATAACTGTTTCTGTTATTGATTGTGCGCAAAATACTACCATTAAAATGCAAAAGTCTAAAGGATAATAACCATTATACATTTATATTCATTATAAGTAACACAAACAAAAAGCAACTAATAGTTCATATTTATGCTAATCTCAAGATGTCAAACCAAATGTGTGGATCACAATAGTGTTTGAGTACTTAAATTAAATCATATAGTTAATAGGTCCAGCTCCAACCCACGTAACAGATGTACTGTAAAGACAACACAAATAGAAAAAATCAATTTCAAATATCATTGAACTATACCCTTCGTATCATATAAAATAATCAATGAATACTATTTTATAAATCAGCGATCCAAATCTTTTTAAGTCGTGGTTAAATGATATAGTTTATTTGACTTTTAAAACAAATCCTTGTCAATCTATGCAATTTTCAAACTACCTAATTGTAGTCAACACTCATAGAGCATTAATAGTGTTGAAAAAATTTTTTTACTTTAATGAACAAGAAAGGTTTTTAAGGTCATTAATTACCTTGTATGAATTTCGAAAATCATAATTAGTTGGTAAAAACGAATTCATAATCAGCTAAGTATAAAATAAACTAATTCATAATAACGAAAAAATAGTGTATAATGGTTTAATTAAGCTTGTTTGTTATTTTTAAATAAAGAAATCAACAAATGTTAAATTCAATATGAAAAAAAAACTATTTAATTCTACGTACAGTTATTTATTGGTTCAAAATTTAAACATTATCAGCTTATTAAATAAAAGTTTAAAATTGAGTACAACACATCGTGAACATAACTGTATAGTCACATTACCTCTCGTTCGTTATAGAAATTTTTCGTATCCAAAAGAAACTTCAAGACAAAGGTGCCTTTTTAAGAATCGTAAAACTATAGCCCTCTCCTACATTGCTATCTTTTACTACTACCAAGAAGAAGCTTAGGTATACACAGTAATTATGCCTGTAAAGTCTACTCTAAAGCTAGAATGTCTTGTCTGTTGAGAAGATTTCATATGGGTTCTCTGTAGAGTTTGAATAACTAGGAAGCAAATTCAAATGTAGCACATAGTAAAATAATAACATACACAGCTACAATACAAGCAATAGCTCAATACATCAGTTAACGTTTATTTTAGTTTTATGGTTACTAATTCTAATGAAACAGTTAAACAATTAGAATTTTACGGTTTACTAATTAGACTACCTTTAGTGTAAGCTAATAATAATTTTTATATTAGTAGTTTTAGTTATAAGTAGAGGTTAAGAAGAATAAATCACTGTTGTACATTAAGAATAAAATGAAATATTGTCAAGAAAATTGAGAGAACATATTAACAATTAACGCATTTAAAAGTATTAATTCTTAAAAATTTGCTATGCAATTTCATGCGTTCATCGGCTTGTTTATTTAATATTTTGTTCGTATAGGCTTACCACGTGGTTTATTCTTGGCGGGAAAATTCAAAAGTTTGAGTTGAAACAATCATATAAATGATTGAAATTTTGAGGTTGGATGAAAAAAAAAAAAAAGGTTAATCACACGTAAAATATTTATAAAAAAAAACAATTCAAATTAATAATCTATTTCTTTCAATGTTATTAAAAACATTTATCAAAAATCTTATAAGAACGTTTAGATATGATGAGGATTCTATAGTTCATAAGTTTTTTTTATGAATTTATTTCTGACAGTAGTTGCAATTTCCCTTCAACTTGAAAAACAACAATCCTATTTCAGGATACTGGGAGAAAAAATACTAAGCATTATAGAGAAACATATACAATTATTGTTCTAACAGTTAAAATTATGGATAGTAAAAATTTCTGTAAGGGAAAATAAAATTTACCAATCGATCCTGTTAAGGTTTACTGTTCCAGCATAGTAATTTTTACTAATCTAACCATAGTTTTTACTATTCAAACTGTAATTTATACTATTAAAACATTAATCTTAACCGTTAAAAATAATAAATTTTTTTCCTTTTTGCCAGTTTGCATCAGATGTAATGTGCGGAATGATAGTTTTTGCTGAAACTCCTCTATAATTTTTTTTTTTTTTCTTTTCTTGGTTTATATGCAACTAAGCAACAAGTTTTTATTTGTCTCCCCATTCTGGAGATTTAATTCCATGTCTCCTCTCACAATTGATGAAGCCTAACGTAAATAGATGCGCACCTGCATCTATTTGCTGAATGGACTCTTTCTCCCTGCGTTTCATGCAACCACGTGCATTTGAAGAAAAAGTCAGCTAGCGATGTTTGCTTAGCTAGCTTCCAATTGCCTGCATGTGGTCTCTATTTTTATGAACGGTGTCTGCAATACGCTCTTTTTTTTCTCTCTCTACGACACTTGGTAGCATAGTCTGTAAATGCTTCAGTAGTAGGAGCGATATTTTACGCGTCACCTTTTTTTCCTATTCAACAAGAGTGTGCACGATGTTTACGTGTCGTCAGGAGCTGTCTACGGTGTAGTGAGAAATCACGTGATTCCGAGTGAGTGTTGTGTATCCACTAAAGGGAAGCGAAGTTGGAAAAATTCGCTAATTGACGTGAGCTCGTTTTTCTTTGTTTTGGCGTTTTCGTAACTTGGTCATATTTCCAGTGTCGTTGCGCTAACTTATACTCCAATGCTTTAAATATGCGCTTTTCGCCGATTGGACGACTCTGAGTAAGCTTTCAGTCTGATTGTACACTTTGTTTGTTAGCCTCCAACGAATTTTGACGTAGTTTCTCCCCCACGATTCATTGTTTTGTTTGGTTTTTTCTGCTGGCTTGAAAATTAGTTGGTAGCTAATAGAAAACAACTGCGAAATTACACATTTTTTTTTTAATTTTACTGCGTAGCCCAATAACTTTTAATTATTCCCTAAAATCTTTCTTATACCTCTTTTATGCTGACTATGAGACACTAAAAGAATGTACAATCATGCGTCATCAAGTTCTAGCTAGTCATTTGAAAAGCATTTGATCAGGGTCAAATCTGGATGAAATAATAAAAAAAAAAAAAAATACTTCAAAACAAGTTAGAAGTCATTGGCTACAGAAATTTATTATTCTTGCTTGACATCTACTCCGCTACGAACTAACGCTCACCATGCATAATTAATTCTTTATTACCATATCTTCTTATTTATTGCAATTTACTAACTAGACTTTACATGAGTACACTTTTTTTCATTAATGTTGTGTGTACTTCTTCATTATATCTTCTACATAACTAGATCTTGGCTCACCTTGGCTTTATATCCATGATATGTAATATCGATACATTTACTCATAACTAACAGTGTCTTACTAGAAGATTCTTGGCCATTACAGCAAATCAATGAAATAGTACAAGCAAGACAGGAAAATAGAACAATCCGCATAATCACTTAAGGTGGATTGATGAATCGTATGTAGTGAGATTAATAATGTCAGAATCTAAGCTTCTCACTGTTTCATAAGAATTATATGTATTATATCACGTCAAATGCTAGTGGATGACGAAGGAAAAATCTATATTAATTTTATTGGCATGACAAGAAAAACAAGTGCCTGTTTATTAAAAAATAAAACTTAATAAAATCTTGAGGAAATGTTAAGTGTCATATTTGAATTTTATTTAAATAGTTGACTAGACAAGTTATGAATGAACACTTTCTCATTTTTTAAAATGATTTTGCATTTTCATAGATACTTTTTATTATTCCCAAATTACTTTTAATTTATTATAAGAACCAGTTTCAAGTTATTTTCTCGACACTTAAAGCCATCGTAAGACTAGCCAAACAAAAATACTTACTTTAGCTAACCATCAGTAGTTGAAACCCATAGTTCATAGTTATTGTACTCATTTACATGAGAAATAACAATATTTTATGATAAAAATATTTACATTACTATTCTTTATAAGTCATCACCTGAAAGAAATTGAGTTCTCGTAAATTATTAAAAACAAAATAATAGACGAATTTAAGCTAAGATTATAAGAAAAAGTTCGATTTGAGATGAAATCAGTTTAGATATCAATTTATTATCGAAGGACAAGACCTTGGGCTCATGAAATTAATGAAAAAATAATAATCACAATACTTTTAACATATATTATTTTCTCGGTCCAGCAAAAAAAAATAATTTTTTTACCATGATAATTTGTTGGTATTTCTTTTACTAACTAAAATTTAAAAATAAAGAAATCTTGTCATGATGAAAATTACTTTTTTTGTTGCAGAATAATATTATGTACAAGGAATTTCGTGGCAAGGAAATTAAACACGAGCCGCGGTCGCGCGGACTGCACTCATTTCCAGATCACTTTAGAGAATCTCAGTCGAATATTTGAGCTGAGCTCTCCCTGCAGCCAATGACCATTGGCAGCGTGTAAATAGTGTAGATACGTTGGAAGTTTATACGAAATAGTATTTTAAAACTTTTTTTATTTGAATTTTGTTGAATTATCAAATTGCTTTGAAACAAAAAATTCAACAAACCAACCAAACATGACCACAAACGCTCAAAACGATATGTCACTCGGAGTCAAGCTCCTCACAGCCGGGACTGCAGCTTGCATAGCAGATCTGGCAACCTTTCCACTGGACACAGCTAAAGTTAGGATGCAGGTAAATAAATCACTGAATGAATGCACGTATGCATTATTCTTCCAAAGTTTTCAAAGTTGATCACATTTGCAATATAGATATTTTTTTGTAAAAAAGCTAGATGTAATACAGCATTTTTAAAGAATTTTTACTATAAGATTCTACCAAACCATGTGCTGGCTTTTGAATTTATTAATATTATGCAAGCCATTTGTATGTATCAGTAAATGTTTATTACAACAGATCGCAGGAGAAGGGCGAGCGATACTGGTCGCTACGGGCGAGGGCGCAGTATTGGCGGTCAACGCCGTACAGCCTGGACTGTTGCAGACCATGGGCAACATCGTTCGTAATGAAGGCATGAGGTACGTTCTCAAATTTTCCAATATCTATCTTTACAAGTGGTAGGTATAGTCTAGGATTTTTTTTGAATTGTTAAAAAAAATGGAGGTCACGATATCGCACAAGCATTAACTAGCCTAGCTACAAATATTGTTAATTTAACGAGAGCGATAATTTTTTGCAACTGTATTTCATATACATCTGAGTCTATTTTATTTCAACTGGTCAATCACAATTGCTTTTATTTTATCTCTTTTAATGCTTTTGCTCTTTTTTTTATCTATTCTTTTTTTATTTATTCATTTTTTTTGGCTTTTATTTATTTATTCTAACTCTATGATAATCTTTGGTATAATCTGAATAAGCAGATACGTATTATAGAAAGAAATGTAATTTCTCAATTCATTGAGAACGAAATTGAATATTCAATAAGTAAAATTAGCATTGCAATTACATTGCTACAGATTACATTAGTGGAAATAACGGATACAACAACATAGTGTTCGGAAATAATACATATTTGTTAAGTATTGAATTTACATTTGAATATTTCACTTGACCAAAGTTTGTTATAGAACATTAATTAATACTTTATTTTTTTTTATTCAAACTCTTTGGCTGTGCATATTAGTTACTTATTTTCGAGCTATACGTGTCAGTCGGAAAAAAATTACTATAATTTAAAATTGTAAGAGTAAAATTTTGCAATTTAAAATTAAGTAATTTTCTTTTTTTATTATTTATGTACGATTAAATTATTTTTTAAATTGTCTTTATTCTTAACGAGACGTACAAGAGGTTGATCCCTTGTTGTACGATAAAGATGAAGATAATTTGGCAAAGCAATACTTGTGTGAGCAGTAAAGAAAATCAGTTGAATGACTTTGCTCCTGGTGACAAAGTTAACGATGCGCAAAAGATTGTGAGAAAATCAAAAGAAATAGAGAGGAAAAGATAGAGAGAAAAAGTTGTGGAGCTGTAATGCCATGCATTACGCAGCTCCAACCAATTGGTTGTTGAGAGTTCGGTGTTGTTGAGCGAGGGTGGTTGCAGGAGCCTGTACGGAGGTCTATCCGCGGGACTCCAGAGACAGATGTGTTTCGCCAGCGTACGCTTGGGCCTCTACGACAGCGTCAAGACACTCTACGCTGGAATCATCGACGGTATTTCCTGATGACTACTAAGACTCTGCAAAGAGTTTTGTTAACAAAAATCCAGATAATTGAAAAAAATGAGCAAAGAATGCATACCGATTGGTTATTTTCATTTCCGCGCTTTCTACTATTATTATCTAAAAGTGAAAGGTCAGCTTGAAACTGTGAATTTAATTTTTTTGTCTTTTTAAATTAGTTTTTTTTTTTTTTTTCTAATTACCGTGCATACAAGACATATAAAGAAATTTTTTGTTTTATAAAAACGCAGAATAAATATTTCTTACTCGATTTTTTCTTCTTAGATCAGTTGGATTGTCACTTACGTGAAATAGAACCCTTTTTTATTGATGTCGATTCCATCTTTCATTAACCATTTGATAAATCTTTCATTAACCACGTCATAGCTAATGAATTATTCACTCTGTAAATAATCAAGAATAAGCATATAAGGTAAAGTACCCTCTATTTGGACACATAATTTTAGGTAATCTACTATTTCTAAATTCACAAAGAAATTAGCTGTTTTTGCGAAAAAGACGGTTGACATGTAGATAATAAAGTAATTTTTCTGTCACTTGAAAAAAAAAGCTCTTTGTGACCGTGTGATCATTGTTTAAAATAGTTATAAAGATTCAGTCTCAAAATCCCTATATTCGGACAATGCATTTCTAAATAGTCCAAATATAGGTCCCGTTACGACGTGGGGACCATAATCCAGACAGTCGTGAACATTGAGAAAATGAGGTTATGGCAGATCTTTATATACAGTTATATTTTACTTTAATGGCTTTAATTTGTTAAAGAAATGCAAAAAACAAATTATTATTGTATTTTACTACATTGCTGGATTATGTGTGTCCAAATATGGGGTACAGTTTGAACCGTAGTATCTAATTTCCGGACAGCAGCCAAACACAAAAAACCTCGATTTGCAAGAAAAAACATTTCTTTTAATGAATTATCCAATTAATTCGACATATGTTGTAACTATCTTAAATCAATTCGATACTGTAGATTGCAAATAAACTGTTTCATTCAGAAATTGTAAAAAAATTATGTAATTATCGCTGCTGTCCGGATATAGGTCCGAACAACACTTTTGTCCGAATATTGGGTACTTTACCTTAAGTACGTATATTGATGTGTTAATTCAACAAAAACCTTTATTATGTTGAAGTGTTAAAGAGACCCTACGTTAATGAAAAAATTTTTTATGTATCGCAATACAAAAATTGACCCCAATTCTTCAAAATTATCTTATTTGTACTTGCATCACTCTGTATTATTGCCCATCCTCTGCCCATCCATAATTTCATATGTATCTTTCATTCAACGTTACTCTGATTTAATATATCTGTAACTGTTTATTTTAAGATACTTTATTCAACGTTTCCATTTATCTTCACATTATTTTGCTTATACAAACAAAAACACAAGACTCAACATCTTTGTTGTTTTTGCTCATTATCTACGATCCTTTTTTGAATTTCTTATCTTTTTATTTATACTTTTTCGATCTCATTATTAATAATTTTTTTTTTGTCAGTTTGAGTCTTCATTAAAATGTTAAAAAATGTTTTATTTTATCATTCTTTTATTTCTTTACATAAAATTTTTTTCTATCTCTTATTGTCTGATGATTTTCATGTTTATTGTTTTGTTAATATTTGTTTCTAACTTTTAGTTGCTTAAAAATGTAATCGTTCACTAAATTTTTTTGAAGACTATTTTTTAGCCATAAGAACCGTACAATAGGTTTTTACCTTTTTTTTCTCAATCTCTACGGTTGTAGTTTGTAGACATATCGAATCTTGTGTTTCTGTATTTCAAGTTTTATCTTTACTTATTACACCAGATATTTTTAAATAAGCTTATGCACTTTTTCTGACAGTCTTACATACAGATGTCTATCACTTACGTTTATTTTTATTCTTTTGTTTATTTGTTTTTATTTTTCTTTTTTTTTTTTCATTCACGATGCCATTTGTGTGTATCTTCTTTTATACTTGTATAAAAAAATGTATTCCATCTTTATGTATTTTAGTAGTGGTCTGAGAGTTACACATAAAATTATAAGTCGATATCATATGTGTCTTTATCTTTTTGCAATCATTTCTATACTGGCATACGCATGTTTTTGTTGTTAAATTATCTTGATTTTTCTCTGGCTCTTTGTTCTTTATAAATAGCTTAGAAAGTGTTTGTTTATCTCTATGAGTTCTAAAATATTTGCGCCTTTTACATAAAATTGTTGTTATTTTTTTAGGTTAGGTTGAATTAGGTTTTTTTCAACAGTTTATACTTGTTTTCATTTTGATATTTTTTAAATCCTGTAACTGTATTTATTTTTAACTCTTATTCATGTCTTGATATCTTTGTTTTTACATTTCTGTTTGATATTCTTGGACTAATGATCTGTGCTCTCTTTAAAACTTATTATTTCTTTACTTTTTTCTAACTTGCCATCTACTCTTTTAAATTAAACAGTATATGTCAAGAAAGTGTTTAAGGCAATGAATCCGAACCAACAGTTTATTTAACCTCTTCTTATCAAGATTTTCCATAACGATATTTAACCTCGTATATTGTACATTTTTGAGGTCACTGAGCTCAATGTCTATTTGACCCATTAAGTCAGAATTTCCCATAACCCCTAAATTTACACAATAAGTTCTTAATAATTCTTAAAATTTAATCTTTATAGCCCTATCATTTAAAAAACCTGAAAAACCCTAAGCCTTTAACCCTCTACTTCTCAATTCTAAACATCGTAAATATATAATCTCGAAACAAAAATAACAAAGGTTTTAATACATACATAACCTCCCAGTTCTGTAACACCTTGTTACTTCATGACAATAAAGTTGTTGAGTTTAGTTGGAGATCGACTGTATCTAGAATGAGCCCATTACCAGAGTCCAAACGTCGAGATGGTAATAGGAAATAGTGTTAGCCCACCATCTGGAAAGAATCAGAGTATTAGAGATTTACGATGGATGCTATGAAATTTCATAATAAAGACACAAGGAAAGTGGTAAACTGTAAAAGATACAGAAGATAAGGTTATTTTAATTTTTGGTTGGAAACCATGGATCTTGAAGCCCTGGCGAAAGACATGGTGTTAGTCCTTCAATTTGAATAAAAATAATACTTTATTAAATTTTGATTATGTAGATAAAGTAAAGTGAAATTAAACAACGGTTTATAAGATCTATGCAGTACATTTTGAGTTTTCAATACGAAGGTTATTGGACAAAACACGAGGGAGTCCATTGTATCTGCATGAAAAATTTGGACAGTAAATTTTCTATCTCTGTGAATTAACCTAGAAAGATGAACGAAATGAGCCTTAATTAAGTCCCCAAATTTTTTTTTAATCATCTCTTTTTACTTCTCGATACCAGTTATTGTAACGTTTGTATTGACCATGCACAACTTGTTGTATGCATAAGTCAATAATCTCATATTGGTGGGACTTGTAGTTTTTTCTTATCTCTATTACATTTTTCATGTTTTTTACTTAACATTTTTTTTTTTATAGAGATTACTAGTATTTCCCTCGGTTCTGGTATGATTGGGTACGGGTAACTGTTTTTATGTCCATAGATAATAGTAAGTATTTTTTTGTTTCGAGATACTCTTTTTTTCATACACCTGTAATTTAATTAGCTCATAATCGTATTATTTTTTTAACTCATGTTGCCTGTCTTCAATGACTTTTTCTTATTCTGTTTCCATTTGGTTTCCATTGTTTGTCTCGAGTTTTTCTTGCCTATATTTTTCATTGGGATCTTCCAAGATGTCTGTAAATATGTAATTATTCTTTTTCTTTAAAATATCTCAATAATGCTACTACTTTGTCTTTACTGTTACTACTTTACAATTTTTACTAATGTATTTTTGATAGTATATTCAAACTTTACAGTAGAATGCTATATTTCTTCTGAAAATGCAAGAGAAGAATAAAAAAAGCTAGTGCTCTCATGCGTTCGTTCCTTGACTAGCAGGGGAGTAAGTATTTTTCTGGGTATCTTAGTGGGTAGATCACGAGATAGCCTTAATGAGATAAGAGAGTTATGTTGTATCACCATATGGAGATAAATTTTTCCCCTATTCTTAGAACGATAGAAGACGAATGACGGCCCTATACTTTAAACAAAAATGCTGGAGATTGAATGACTGTACAACCAAAGTCACAATAAATTAAATGTTCTCCTGTCAAAAATTCATAGTTGGTATTGTTTATTTGTCAATAAATGAGATAAAAAACTTACAATTCACATTATAAAAGATTACTAGAGATAAGGAATTGGGAAATTCCAAATCATCTGTTTCTTAATCGAAGAAACAGGTCGTTCACTAATACAGGTTTCAAGCTGATCTTTTAGTTTCGAAAAAATTAAGAAAGTATGAAAATGTTTGCTTGATTTTTAGAGACAATAATATAGCAATAACTCATTATCATATCGAATATAATCCGTAGTTAAGTATTAGTTTAACCACGGTGTGTTTCATCCAAAGCTATACCTTGTGTTACAAATTACACCAATCGAAAGTCTCTCCTTCGCAGCAGAGATCACACCTTAACCAAGTTCATTTGCAAACGTAAATTACCATTCAGTTTCACGTAAAATATCTCATGTTGTTTTGAGTTTGAAAAGAAAAAAACACCCTCTTTGTATGCAAATCTTCGATCTAAAGAAAAAAAAAAAAAAAAAAAAAAAAAAAAAAAAAAAAAAACTTCCTAAAAACTTCTCTGACCTGGGACATCTCGTCAACAGGTAACCGTAGGCACGGGTCCTCACCACCAGAAACCGGTTCCATCAACATTGGCGTGCGCATAGCTGCCGGTATCACGACCGGCGCCTTGGCGGTGCTCTTCGCCCAGCCCACCGACGTGGTCAAGGTCCGCCTGCAGGCCGGTAACAACGGGCACGGCCGGACTCGGTACGCCTCGACTCTTCAAGCCTACCGGAGTATTGCCGTCAACGAAGGCACCAGTGGACTATGGAAAGGTACTCGCACATCATCTCACAAACTCATTACGCGCACGCGCTCCCATTAGCTGCACACCACGGATGTACACGACTTGGCTTTTTTCCCTTCCTATCCGTCCTTGAGATAACCTACCCCCCCTTTTCATCTCTTATACATTTGCGCATTGTTCAACATTCGGATGTCTGAATTCCCAAGAGCTGTGCCACTAATGATGAATTATATACTAAAATCACAAGCAAACAGCTCGGCTAAGTGGGGCAGCCACACAGAGTGTGTATCCACTTTTCATATGCAGTGGGTACTCTCTCCCTGATGCGCTTATTACTACTTTGAAGTGAACGCACGCGTGTCTTTCCACGTGCACCCTTTGCCCATTCGTGTCGAAAGAGCCATTAACGTCGTTACACGCAAATAACGCCGCTGATTAGGCGCACGGATCATTGTCCTGTCGGTAGCATTTTTTTATATGAGTCTGGGAGAGATAAACAGGGGAAATGAGATGCACTGACAACAGTACTCGATACCGTTACGATTATATCGGCCATTCGTGTTTTTCCGTAATGCATGCAGTGATGCCCGTCTGTACTTGCAGTTCAACGACAACTCTCCGTGTGTGTATGGGTAATTGTTCCGACTCCCCTTTCCTTTTCTCCTTCTCTCTCTATGTTCGAGGAGTCGTCGAGGAGGGCCTCCACCCTGTACTTGTCATGCGTGCATGCACCGTGGCATTATCGGCACGTGCGGCCGGCGAAGCAGCCGCGGATGAAATGAAATCGTCGTCGTTTTTATTGCAACGCCACGTGCCACTCCATCCCGTACGGTTGTTTGATGATGGCCTAGTGGCGATCGGCTTCGTACGCTTTTTACGCGTGGCTTAATTTGGCTGGAGTCTCTGAACGCGTTGTACAAACAATCGTTTTTGATGTTTTCAATATTCATCAGTACAGATTGATAAAAGTAGTTGAAAGTACTTTTTTCATTGAATTTTAACTTTTGTCCAAAGCTCTTATCTTACAACTTTCCAGAACGACATTTTAAACTAGTCCTTGTGCAGGAGTAAGGTTTATCTGTTTACAAACAACTATCTGAGATTTTAACACTAAATAAAGTTCTATACTTGACAATATCCCTTTTTTTCGTGCATTAAATATTTATCCCCAGCATGGCATTGTTTCTTTATTGTTAAGTTTTATCATATATTGATAACCATCACACTATCATTTTTTTTTTCTCACGGTAACAAACGATAAAGAAATAGAAGCTAATCCCGCAGAACTCGATTATTAGAGTACATATATTTAACTCACGTTTTATAAAGAAACTGTATTGTAATATATTAGTGGTCTGCCATAAAAATGATCTGCATTATCCATTGCATAAAAGTTGAGACCGTTTTAAGTGTTTTCGTAATTCGATACTACAAGGCATTAAAATCGTGATCGTTACAAACATTTACCGATTTTCCATTAAATTCTTTATATTTGATCTACTCGACAAGGAAAAATTAAGTTGAGTATCTTATAACGGTGCAAAAAAAGCGTGCCACATTGACTTTTTATCTATGAAAGCTGACCACTATTTTTGTCACTTATCATCTGATATCAGGGACGAATCAAGATCACTTTCAAAGGTGGACAAAAAAATCTAGAGTTCATTTTATTTTTCAACACCGAAACAAACGAACTAGTATCGCTCACATATTATTCTTTTTATCGGCGGTATACTAAACACCTAAACTCCAGTGCGTCTGCACATGGCATACACCCATACTCACGTTATCTTTAGAGATGGATTACACGAGCCTCACTTCCACAAATAACGGTCACGCGTACCGAACCAAGCTTGAGAGTAAAAAGAAAGAGTTACCATCACGATGAGACATTTTTTTATTCTCGTGTCTTTCGATAACCCGGGGAAGACAAGCGCTGTGATATCGGACAGTTTGTCACTCGTTAAGTAAAATTTTTCCCGTCCACGAGGCCTCCTCGTTCACTCCGACGAGACGCAAAAATCCATAATCGAATTCGTGGCTGCGAGCCCAAACAAAGGCCGGATCCCCCTTCGGATAAGACTCTTATTCCATTACCGATTCGTGGAAAGGCGTCGAGGGCGAGCGCCGATCCACCCTCGTCGAAGAGCCCGTTCTCCCCCTTACGTGTCCGTCCCGCCCCGTCGAAACGAAAGCGAAAACCAAATCCCATTGCCCCTCCAGCCAAATCGATCGGCACACACATCTACTAATAACCCCATGTCCCCCAACAGGTACCATGCCGAACGTCTCGCGCAACGCGATCGTCAACGTGGCCGAGATAGTCTGCTACGACGTGATCAAGGAGAAGATCCTGAGCTCCGGACTGCTGCGAGACGGCATCCCCTGCCACCTGACAGCCGCGGTGGCTGCCGGTTTTTGCACGACCATCGCGGCCAGCCCCGTCGATGTGGTCAAGACTCGCTACATGAACAGCGCCCCGGGCGAGTACAGGGGCGCCCTCGACACGGCCTACCGCATGCTGGCCAACGAGGGGCCCATGGCCTTCTACAAGGGCTTCGTGCCGAGCTTCACGAGACTCGTCTCCTGGAACATCGTCCTTTGGGTCACCTACGAGCAGATCAAGATCCAAGTGAAGAAGCTGCAGGCTGCCGAGTGAGCGGGTAGGCACCTAATCTCCGTCGCGTTGAACCAACCTTTGTTTTTAACGAGAGAGATCTGTGGAGGGCCTTTGGTTTATTGTGGAAACACCAGGACTACTTGTGCACATGTAAATTTTGATTCACTTGTAACATCGTTATTGCGAAAATACTGCACAAACTTGATCTTTTTTTCATTCATTTTGACAATGTGAAGTTCATCCCTCGCCTCTATCATCGATTGTAACTGTTAATTGTAATGACATGCCCAATTTGACCACATGAATTTTATGACTCGTTTTGCGTGATCCGTTATCCATTCTACTGGAATCTTTTTCATATTGTGTTTATCATAACGTTGGTCACTTACAGTGGGGGTAAGAAATTTTTGTTAAACGTCACCACGTTAATCGTTCTCAAGGTATTTTATCTCTTAATAGTTTAATGACTCGGATACAAATAGAAGAATTGTATTGAAAGAGAAGGATCAACTTTTTCGAGGGATAAAATTTTTCACCAACAAAAATAGAGATTGAGATTTTTATTTTATGCGTCATAAAAAGAAAAAATATTATGGATTGACTCATCTCGGTAGATAACAGCAATTTTGATGATAAATTTATGAATTTGTAAGTGCCATTTTAATTTGTGTAACAAATTAAAGGCTGCATAGATTCCTCTTTGTATAGTATTACTACTCGCAGTTACATTATCATGATCAATAATCACTGTTTAGTTTTTTGTTTTTTTTTTTCTTAAAAACGTAAATGGGACAATAAAATTGAATTAAATGTATGTTGACGTTTGTGCATACTGGATACCTGTAACATATCAATTTAGTATTAACAGATGATGAAACGCAAAACACCAAATCGTATATTTGATTATTCATGAATAACACTTTTTAATCGACTTTAGCGTATAAAGTGTCTTCATTTGAAATGCTGTGATGATTAATGTACACGTGAGTGTGTGCGTCTTTTGTATTACACGGATTGGATTTTTTATCTTTGTAAACTGTGTTTGGAGTGAAAATTTATATAAACACGGTGAAACTCTTTCCAAACAGTTGAGGCTATTAATTGGTGTTGGCAAGTTCTTATCCTTTTACCATAAATTTAAATAATGAAGTGCTAAGAAATTACTTTACAGTGGCTTTTAATTTCGCCCCTCTTGATTTATTGTGTGTCCTTTGTTAGATAACAATAATTATGATTTAAAAAAAAAAAAGGAAGAAAATATGCATGTCATATTTTTTTTATCTTTTTATTTGGATCAATAGGTGTAAGTATACTTTAGTTTGAATCTATATTGGTATGAACGCAAGAAAACGTTTTGGTGTGGATTTTCAGTTCAGCTACTTTTTCTCACAAATCATGTTGTTGGAAAACTTTTCAAATAAAATGTATACAAAAAAGAGCCAATCCCACAGCTGCCGTTTTGAATTTTTCCGCTTTTACTTGAGCGCAGGTAGTGCCATCGACAATTAATCTAAACGAAATACCACTTACGAAAATCGTGATGGTGCAAATCTTTGTGTCAGCTATATTTGGTTGAAACTTTAAAAAAATTTCCGATACAAAGTACGCCAAAAAAGCCTTACTATTGAAGATCGGTAACAGCGATTAAAAATCGTGAGTACCTGTATGCATGTGAAGTACCGAAAAAATCGGTAACGAGATGAGTACCAGCGTCTCTTGACGATTCAAGCCACATTAAAGTGGTGATACAAAAATCGGCAGCATCATTCTCGTACCGATTTTTTTTTTAATTTGCCCTCCAACATAGCGTTCAAAAGCTCAAGTTGGCAGCTCTGTCTACTTTCGGCGTACTACCGACTCTACCGAGTTCCGAGAGCCGCCTTATTCAGGGAAACCTGCAAACTGCCGCGCAGGCGCAGGTGGAGGATTACACTCTGCAGGCGCGTATACCGGTACAATAAGTTCTCCTCCACCAGCAGCGCTGAAACTCGCGTGTGGCAGCACGACTCGGGAATACTCGATACTCTCAGACAGGCCGTAGCTCCGGCTTCGCTCCCATGGTGGCGTGCCTCGCTGGACTGCAACATTGAGATCGTTATACTTGTATCCCTCTCTGCTCCGCTGCAGGTATAAATCAACAGAGGTGTGCACTGGCGGCAAAAGAAAGAGAGAGAGAGGGTACTCCTCTGCCGTATGTGTATATACACCGACCAACTCCTCCTCCGCTTCACCGATCTTGACGTGCGTGCAGTGCGTTAAAACAAACCTGCTGTCGAGAGCGAGCGCGCGCGCGTGCATGCGCCTCGTAGGTGCGACTTGTTCATGTTTTTCGTGCGAGTGCATATAGTGCACGGCCCTTCGGAGGATACCCAAGAGTACCTATACAAATAAATCGGTATCGAAATTAGCGAGGAAAGGAGCAGCCGAGTAGTAGCGAGTAGTTCACGGCACCCCAGGAGCACAGGAAGCGCTCTATACGCTAGCTTGTATTGTGTGCGATCGTCTCCACTGTATACGGGGCGAGCGTGTGCAAAGGGACTCGCGGACGTGCCCCCTCGACTTGGAGTTGTTCTAAAAAAAGTATACTCGAAGGAGAAACGGGGCGAGAAGAGGCGCCACGACCAGCGAACTTGGACTACGTGGAATGTCCCTTGCGGCAATCGGCCACTGCAACAACCCGTATAACAGTGCCTGATAGCTACTTGCATACGTACGCGTGTGCGTGTTCCACTGCCAAACGGTGTACGTGTGTTCGGTGTATATAATATATGCGCGGTTGTTATAATATATACCTATGGTTTGTTTTTGTTGGCAAAGTGCGGTGGGGTGCCCGAGATACACGCGTTTGTCATCTCGTTGAGATCGGCTGGGCACGAAGTGGATAAAAAGCAATTGGAGTAATTGTGCGGGATTGACGCAAGGTTATGTCGGCACCAAGTGCACCACTGTTGTCGCAGCGACCCGGAGCCGAAGCGGAGATCGGCGGCAACTGTTTACCGTCCTCGTCGTCCTGCATCGGGAGATCGGTCCTGGTGATGGGGTCGGGGTCGCTCGTTGAGTGTTGAGGGGCCGCCCGGGGTGGTGGTGGTGGAGAGGATCGGTCGACGGAGGAAGGGGACAACAAAAACGTGAGTACTCGGTTTGTTTTACATAAAGAAAAAAAAAAAAAAAAAAAAAGGAAAAAAAGGAAAAAAATGTATAAGGACCGCGATGGAGATTCGTCTCCGGACCAGGAGCGGAGAAAGTGGGCACCGGGCGTCAATAACACACTTCGGAGCCGGCTGCAACCTGCTCTCGGTTATGACTTTTTGCTCCCTCGCGCTCTTTTGTCGTCGTCGTCGCTTGGCAACTTTTCTCTCTCTTTCTCTCTTTCTCTCTCTGTTTTCCTTTCTCCCGCTGCCAGCTCCAAATTTTTTTTGCCCCGGAGCAGCCCGTTCTCACGCAGTTACCTATACCCACTCGCATACATCTCGACAACTTGCGTATGAATATGCACAGCATGCAGGCATAAATAATGCACTTACCTGCGCGTAAACGCAACACACGCACGTATAGTGCATACCGTATAGGCATAGCCGGAGATTCGTGCACATGGGCGCACACGGACAGCTGGGAAATGGCGAATGGGTACAGAACTCGTACGGATAGGCAGATGAGCGCGCGCTCGTACGTGCATACATTCGCTTATCCTATATATCCTACGGTTCAGGCACATGTACGCATGCATGCAGGTATTACGTACTATCGTAAGTGCATGTAAATATACGCTCGGGTACTTGTGTACTAATATACTCTCGAGACACCGTAAGCTACAAGGCATTCTCGATGTGTGTACTTGCATGCATGCATAAGTACTTACTGAGCGCATGTATACACATATCAAAAGAGGATATTGCACGTCTTGAACGGGAAATCGACGGACAAGAGCAAGCAAAAGGTATAGGGTACTCAGGTATATAGGATGAAAGGAAGGAAGGAACGAGTGATGGTATCGGGTACGCGCGTTGCATGCCCTATCGGGGGTGACTAATGCACCCATACTGGCTCGCCCATCCGTCCTTTCCGAGACCCCCCTCGAATGCTTTTATTCGCGTCCCCACGATAGACACACGGGGGTGTGCAAGAAACAACACATTTAGGGGGGAAGAGTCACTGGGTGCACACACACATATACGTGCTCGAGGCGCCATAGCGTACATATGCCTGTACGTGCCACCTTGAAATATATATATATAAAGTCCAAGAAGAGAAGGAAGAAGAGGAGAAGAATGAGGAGGAGGACGTGTCCCGCGCGGAGCGAGCGGTGCATCGGGAGCGAGGTTCTTTGCGGTTTCCGCGCGCACTTTTTTTCCCCCGTGCACGCCGTGAAGTTGCTCTCTCTCTCGCCGACCCTCCAAGAGGCTGATGTTCTCTTGCCTCGTGCGTTTCCATTCGTAGAGGTCTCCTCCGTGAAACCCTCCAATGTCATCTAACCGTCCTCACGGAAGCATTGCACACCCAACCGCTTCACTGTTCTCGTCCTACGGAGCTGTTATACTGCCACGCTGAAACTCGATTGTGCCTTTCTTTTGTTCTCCACCACTTGCTTTGGCGATGCACTTTGTCCCAAGCTGTGTGAAAAAGAAAACTTATCTATTGTAAGTAGATCGACTTTAGGGCATTATACCGATAAGCGGGGAGTATCGGAGCGGGAGACACGAGGTTCTATGTATCATTTGTTTGTTATCAACGGGCAGCTGCTTCATTTTTAGAGTAGGTACATAGACGGTGGATATGTTAAAACATAAGACCTTTTAGGACTTTTCGGCTGAAACCCATACATCATTCCATGGCACGCAAATGAAATTGCACTGGAATTCACTTGAAACGTGGTGGGAAGCGATCCGATCCGGTGTAACTTGTGTTGGTGGCAGACTCGCTCTATCATTCGATACCTTTATTGGGGACTCTGGGTGCAATGAGGTACATGGTGTGGGGGTAGACTGTTTCTGACGTATGGTCAATGTCAAAACCAACGGTTGGAGGTTACTGAAATTTTGGAAAATATTTTCGATCTTGACCCGATGACTAGTGAACTGTGGGTGTTGTCACTGCCTCGAGCATCGTTTGGTTCGTGCGGAATGTCCTGCGGGCCGTCTCCTACTCGCGAGTTAAACGTATGTAGGGTTGGAGGACCGGTGGTCCCGCAGTCGGTATGAGTAATGATGGCACTTTTATTTCAATTATAACTCTGCTCAAAACACAGTTAGAATACATATATTCTACCGGTAATGCGGTTGAAAGCGCAGGTTGGCAGCAGGAACGGCTAATTTGAATTTTAATCAAAAACGTGATCACATCGACGATCGAATGAATCATTAGATTCTTACTTTTGAACTTGCGAACTAACTCCCATTGCCCGAAACTTTCAAACTGATCAGTATTTCCGTGGCTCGAGGAAAGAAAGCGCTATCCTCGATTTGTTTCCGATTATTCATACTTTTTTAAACTTTGTATACCCCCATTGTAGAAACAACCAACCGATGCTTCTCATATACTTGTCTACTTTAAAAATCTTAAACAAGTCGTCAAGTATCCAATCTATAGGTAAATGTTTATATGTGCATGCAACTGACATTAGTACGTAACATCACTAACGCTTAAGTAACTGGGAAAATGAAGGGTAGTAGAAAGCCTTGAAGTTGTGAAAATCCAACACTGCTATAAACTTTTCATAAAATAAATCGTTTAACAGAAAATCTTTTGTTGTTATGCACAGTTAACGTTCAACTTGAATCTTGTTAAAAAGGCCTTTGATCCTACTTTCCAACTTGAAATTGAAACCGAAAAATTAAATCATGATCGTCTTGGAGGAAAAGAAACGTTAGTAAAACCAAGGCCAAATTGAGAAATGGTAGTTTTCGTCACAAAAGTGCCATTGCCTTTCGGGCTATTTTGGGGGCTGTAAGACAGCCCTGGATCGATGGCATTTGTGTGCCAAACACTGTTTTTCCTACCGAGGGCACACTCAACCCTCGAAAATGCCTGAGGTAGGAAAAAACTTTTTGTGTTTAATTGAGATTGACATTTTTTACCGTAAAAAATTTTTTATACAATAAACCTGTCATGATCTTATTTTTCACATTAGAAAATCGGTTTTCAAAAGAAAAAAAAAGTTACTGGGCTGAGATTTTTTATCTAGCAAAGTTTTTTACGAAAAAAAAGCCATAAATAGTCTTTCGGCGTTCTTACTCAGTAGAGTCAATGACTTCTTCTAGTATTGCAAGCTAAAAAAAGCGTCAATGCCACACACGACAACATCAGCGGTTGCGTTTTTTTTTTTTTTTTTTTTTTGGTGTACATAAAGCTCTGGCTCACACTGTGTTTTTTAAATTTGGAAGTCAAGGGCAAGCTCACTGACGATACTTGGTAAAAAAGTCACAAGTGCCCTTACCGTTGCTTACCCCGT